AACACCGCCGAAAGAGCGCAGGAACAATAGATTCATTTGAAACAATATTTTACAGACGTTTTACGATCAATATGAACTGAAGCATTATGCTGTACCAATCTGTTAATGCTCTTAATGGTCTTCTCATTCCGTTAGCACACTATGCCAAGTCGATAGAGTAAAGTGATTATTACAGAGACACTTGCAGCATATTTGAAAAAAGAAAAAAAAAAAACAAAACAAAAAAAAAAAAAAAAAAAACCCTGAAACCCAAACCCCAGGGTTTTCCACCACTGTTTTTAAACGGGATTATTCCCTCGGAGCGGCTCCGTGTGTCCTCACCTCTGCCGCCCGTTCTGCACGTCGCAGACGCTGACAGCAGAATCAAACATTTCCTACCGACCTGTACCAGAAAATTTGAAAATATTCTGCTAAAAAAGAGGGAAAATATCAATAATAATTAGGATAAAAAATACCAACCTCCCAACGCGGGTCGCCGGGAGCGTGCGGCTGCTGGAGGGGCCGGACCGCTCCCTGCTGCAGCCCTCCGGAAGGCAAAACTCCTCTGAATCCCCAAATCTGGTGGCCGGGAAGTTTTATATCTTTCCCCGCGCTGTTTGCTATACACAGCAACCCCCTATTTACTACCAAATAAAAGAAATACATGTGTGTTTCGACCACAAACAGGGGAGCTAGTTCTGTTCAGCCGTGCTCAAAACAGTGGCCGAGAAGAACCGCGTTATCTCTCGAATTGCAAACAAAGGCAGAGATTTGCCGAGTGCGCTTGCAGCAGTAAACACGAGTGGTCGCGGAGTTGCCAACAGAAGATCGAAGCAACTTTCTTTGAATCGCCCCCACCTCCCCGACAGAGAGTTTTTGTTTCTGTAAAGATGATTTTCTTTCCATCACTCAAAGCGATTGCTTTCACTCCATCCCAGAGTGGTGCGCGATCTCCAGAAACTTTAAGCAGGGACAAAGGTGCGGGAGGAGGGGTTGGGGGATCCCTTGGCAGCCTGTCCCGCTCCTGTCCCGCTCCAGGCCGGCGCTCCCCGCCCGGGAGCGGCGCAGCGCAGCGGGGACCGCCGGGGCTGGCGGAGCCCTCGCTCCTTCTCCTCGAAGGGAGAAGCTGAACCCTTCCCTTCGCGTTTCGCTGGATCCTTAAGGGATAGGATGGAGTTTCGGGACACCTCCTGAAGGCTTGAGAAAAGCCTGAGCGCCGGGCTCGGCTCGCTGCGGATGCGGACGGGAAAGGAGCATCCCGCTCCGAGCGATCCCTCCCGGCCGGGCTGGGGGAAACTCCGGCTGCGGGAGAGGGGCGGCTCGGGGGGCAGCGAGCCGGGCTCACAGACCCTCGGCCCACGGCCCAGCTTCACCGCCAGGTTTCACAGCATCCGCCTGCTGTCGATCCCGCGGTGTGCAAGGGCAGCGGGAAGCAGAAAAGCTGGGATCTGCTTAGAATTATTAGTTTCCTTTTTTTTTTTTTTTTTTCCCCCCTTAATTAAAAAAAAAAAAATCCTGCCGAGCCCCACCAACCCCACCAAGATCATCGTTCCCCTGGGAAATGCCTCTGACAGTCCCGGGACGGGCGCGGAGAGCCGCTGCCCGCCGCCCGCACCCGCGCAAAGGCCGCGCTGCGCGGCCGGAGCCGCGCTGGTGTCCATCGGCTCCTTCCTCTGCTGGGAAAGGGCCAGGAGGGTCCGGAATCGTTTTCTGAGCACTGACCAGAAAGAAATGAGCTTTTTTTCCTTGCCGTTTGATAACATCGTGCTGCCGCGCTGTAAAATGGAAAGACGTATTTACTATGACAACAATATTTTTAATGGGCTGCAAGCGACTTGTCCCAAAGTTGGTACTGCAAACAGCAAAGGCATCGCTCTGTTTGTAGGCGACACAGCCAGCACCGTATTTTGACCCCGAAACTCTGTTTATTTTTCATTTACGACCCATTGCCAGGGTTTTTATCCCAAACGAAAAGAAAACGCGGGATTATCTTTTCGCAACGCTGAGTTTTATTTTGATTTCTTTGGCCCCAAATCCTGCCCTCGGCGCTATCAACACGTCGATTCGGGCCAATCTGCGGGAAGCGGAGAGCGATCCTATCTCCAAATAACCCTGCCGGGGGTTGGGACACGCGTGACGGCCGCGGCCGTGGGCGCAGCGCTCGGACACCCTGCGGCAGCCCCCGAGGAGGGGCCAAGGGAGGCAGGGGCAGCAGCGGGGGGCGCAGGGGAAGGGGCGGCAGGAGCTCAGGGAAAGCCCTCGGGGAGGGAGGCGGCGCTCCCGTGGGCAGGGACCCCCCCTCCCTCCGCGGGGCTCCCCGGGAGGCTGCGACCCCTGGCTCGGGGTGAGCCGGGCACCGGGACCCCGCTGCCCATCCAGCCCCTTCCCGCGGAGGGAGCCTCTGGATCCCGCTCCAAGGAGCCCCGGCGGGATCGGCTCCGTGCCCTGCCCGCAGCCCCGGAGCTCACAGACAACCCTTGGGTTGTTTGTTTTGTTGTTTCTACCTTTTTTTTTTTTTTTAATTTTTTTTGTTTATTTATCTTCTTTTTATTATTATTTTTTCCGCCCGAAACCACACTTTAAAAATGATAAGGAACGGGTTTTATTGATTTTTTTTTTCCACCACAACATTAAGTTTATAACAATATAGGCTGTTTTAAAAATAGGACCGATCCCTAACAGAAAGCGAGAGGGCAGAGGGTACAACCGAAACTGGAAAACAAAATTTAAAATCAAACAAAGAAGAGAAACCAACCAACCCAAACCCTTGGGAAGACAGCAAACAATTGTCAGACAACAGGTGAGCAGACACTAAGACAGAGAGAGACTAGAGGTGTCCACTCCTCACTTGATTTCTGCCTATTAAAATCCACATACTCAATGGACTTTAGAAGAAAACTGTACATCATATCAAATAAATTAAAATTACCCTAAAGTTGATTGTCCTTCACTTAAAGCGCCCAGCTCACCGAATCTCCCTTATTTATTCGTATAAGCCGGGCCGATGCTAATTCCCATGCCCTGCTCCTCTCTTCTCACTTTCCTTCGCTTTTAATTATTTTTTATTTTATTTTGCACAACATGAAGAAACGCAATTTTACAATGCTAAAAAAACCCTTTCCTCACCATTCAAATAAAAGCAGTGCTTTAAGAATCGTCGTACAATATTGCACAGTTCAAAAGTACAATAATATTATTAATAATAATAATTAGTATTACAAAAGAAAGCAAAAGGGCACAGATTTCCCCCCCCCTCCCCCCAGATACCGAAATAACTTTACAAGGAAAAAAACCCAAAACAACCCGACAACTAGGAAAACAAGAATTATAAACAAGAATTAAAAATGTCTAAGTAAACGATAATAAATAAGGGTCCCTCAAAGCGTGCGAGTGTTTAACCGTTCACTTTGAGGCTGTATTTCTTGCTCGTGAAAGTCTCATGGCAGAAACCGAAAGGTACAAAACGTGGGCAAGCAAAGAGGCAAATGTCTGCTTAAATGAAAAGCCGTGGTCGATGAAGTTTGAGTCACGACAGGATCAGGAGCCTGAACAATTATTTGGAGGCAGAAGGAGAGGTCCGAAAGGAACAGAAATTCAGCTTCCCATTAGCGTTTGGCAAATCTCGAGGAGTGGCCTGGGACCATTCATTTTATTTTATTACTATCCTTTTTTCCCCCTTTTTTCTTTTTCTTTTCTTTTTTTTTCTATTTTTTACAAAAATAAAACTAAAGCCACAGAGAGAGTGAGAGACCATCGCGGTTTTCATCCACGTTTACAAAAGGTGTGACAGCTCCAGGGTTCTCTACAAGTCCCCGCTTTCATTTTCCTCATTTTCGTTTCCCTCCCCCCGCATTTTTATTTCCTTTTTTTTTTTTTTTCCCTCCTAAATTTCCGCGACTTTCCTCCTACCACCACCTACCGAGGGGTCCCCCCAGCCCCGCACTCGTGTCCCCTCAGTCCCCCCCGCTCCGCAGACGCCGGCCGGGTGCCTCGCACGGGGGGCTGCAGTACTTACAAGCGGCCGGGTGACTTGCGCGCCTCTCCGCGCCCCTCCGCGCAGCGCCGGCCGGGCTCAGACGGGCCGCAGCAGCGGCACCGAGGTGACCACGGGGTGGGAATAGTAGACGGGGTGAGGGAAGGTGAGCAGGGGCTGCGTGCCGGGGGCTCCGCCGCCCCCCGCGCCCCCCTCCGCGCCCGAGTTCTCGTGGTAGAGGATGGGGACGCGGACGATGCGCTGCGCGGCCGCGTGGCTCAGGTTGGCCGCCTCCAGCTCGGCCGCCAGCTGCCGCTTCCACTTGTTGCGGCGGTTCTGGAACCAAATCTTCACCTGGGTCTCTGTCAGGTGCAGCGAGGCGGCCAGGCCGGCGCGCTCCGAGCTGCTCAGGTAGCGCTTCATGTCGAAGGTGGACTCCAGCTGGAAAACCTGCGAGCGGCTGAACACCGTGCGCGTCTTCTTCTTGCGGCACGGCTTCTTCTCCGGGCTCTCCTCCCGCTTCTTCCAGTCCTCCGCGCCTCCCTCCTTCTTCGCCTCCTCCGAGTCGCTCTCTTCCAGGACGATCTCGTCGGGGCTCTTGGAGTCCAGCTCCTTCTGCTCCCCCTCCGCCTTCAGCAGCGGCTCCGGGGAGTCCCGGTCGGTGCCCGAGGCGGGGGACGAGTCCCTCAGCAGGGATTTCTCTGCGGCTGGATGGGAAGGACGAAGCGGGGCGTGAAGGGGGGAGATGAGGGACACAAAGAGACACCTTCACCGCCCAGGCCCGACGGGACGGATCCCCGCGCCCCCCCAGCGCCGGCTTCACCCCCCTCCCCGCCGCCCCCGGTGCCCACGGCCGCCGCCCCGCCGGGGAGGGACGGAGGGAAGGAAGGAGAGATGGAAGTTTTGGGGAGCGGTACCTTCCGTGCGGGGCAGGTGGGCTCCGGCCGGCGTCAGGGCGTAGGGGTACCACCAGGTCTGGGCGCGCTCCAGGCAGTGCGCGCTCAGGGCGAAGCGCGGCGCCGGGATCTCGAAGCGGGGAAAGGCGAGGTCGCCCACCTGCGAGAGGGCGAAGCCGGCGCCGTCCACCGCCGCCTTGCCCGAGGGGGCGAACAGCGCCCGCGGCTGCTTGGGGGGCGCCTTGGGGGGACCGCCGTTGAGCAGGTTCTTGATGTAGAAGGACTCCTTGGGGGGAGGCGGAGGGGCGCTGGGTGGCTCCTGCCCGGTCTCCGGCATCCTCCGCTGCCCGCCCGGCTCCTGGCCGCCGCTGGCCCCGCAGCCCGCGCCCGGCGCGCAGGTGGCGGCTCCCGGCGGCGCGGGGGACAGGCGCGGCCGCCGCCTCCCGCCGCCGCTGCTGCTGCGTCAACCTGACGCCGGATGCTAATGATGAAATCAAAATGTCATCCCCGTTCCGCGCCGGGAGCACGCGGCGATTGGGCACGCACAAAGGCGAATGGGATCAGGCGGGAGGAGAGGGCTCCGCGCAGCCCCTGCTCGCAGCCGCCGCGGCCCCGGCCCCCCCGCCCCGGACGCGCCGCCGTGCCCGGAGGCGGCGACCGCCCGCCCGTTCGTGGCGTTTACAGAGTCCAATTAGGCAGCGAGCGGGGCTGGGCCGGCGGCACAAAGGGACCGGCTCGGCGGAGCGCGGCGGGAGCGGCGGCAGGCGAATGGCAGGGGCCGAGCCGCTCCTGCCTCAAA